AATTTAAAGTTGGATAACACATATGAAAATTAAACACTATGATCTCCTTAGTCTGCATAAAGAATTTAATCTGAATCTTGCAGTAAACTGTGGGCTAAAATTGCCTTTAAAAATGGACTTTGAAGTATTTGTACCTCTAACTGAAAGATGTGTAGGTTCTAGATGAAAATAAAAACTGTGGAGAGCTATGTAAATACAGAAGCAGGTGGAATAGGTTCATACTCAACCTTCTGGGCATTTCAAACTGCAAAAAGGCTTCACAGATGGAGCATTTAGGTGAGAAAGGCAAACTCAAGCATGTGCCGTGTAAATGCATTAACCACCTGAGTTTGTAAAGAAGTTCATCTAATGGAAGAAGAAAAGACGCACATGTTCTATCAGGTTTGTGAAAAGCTTATGTGTGCTGGCTTGTAAAAATGTTTATGATAGTTGTGGCATAAAGACTTTCGAAGGCCAGGAAGCATAGCTTTTCACTCTTTACAGGCACATCAGCAAACTTGTCATGCAGGTAGATGCAAATAAATGTTTGAATTTAGAAGCTCTCTTTCCAAAAAATTTGGAAAAAAGGTACAACCAGACACTTGGGACAGACATCCTCCACATGTTGTCAAAGGCCGACTATTAATGACGACTTTAGCTAGATATCAACTTTTTAAAAAAAAAGGCATTTTTTTTTTTAAAGTATTCATTTAAACACTAGTATTTAGATTTCTGCTTTTATATTATAAAAAATACAACAGAGGTTTCAGGAAATCCAGCTTTTACCTTGGCCAACGCTTTTATGGATCATTCTACTGTTACTTGAGGTGAGTGATAACAAAGCAAAGTTCACAAAACAAATCCATGCAGAGTCAGACCTTCTATGTCTGTAAGCCTACTATTGCTGTAGCTGGAGCGATAAAATATTTGCCCTTCAACAACCTCAGCCCAATGAGTGCTTCTTTCCTAATCCATAATCATTATGCATGCATTGTTCCAACAATCAGCTTTGAACAATTTGACTCTTAGGCTTCTCCGTCAAGAGCTTAAAAGGCTTTCACTTGCTGTACTCTTCTTTATTCTGCTACACAAAGAAAATTGCTGAGATACATCAAATACTGGTTTGCTAAAGATATTATCATATGAAACCTGCTTATTCAAACAACATGCTCTTCCTATAAAGTACAGAGCGCAGAATCATGACATGCAGGATGACAAGTTTGATGTACTCACAATGGGCAGTGATGTCTCAGTGCATGGCCTCGGCTCCCATTTAAATGCACATCCTGTCTCATGCAGTCTAATATCACTTTAACCCTCACTTTTACAAGGGATTAACTTTCACTAAACTAATGGAAACAGAACCCTTTCAATACAAGAATCTCTGTTCTGCATTTCTTTTGTGATAACTTGCATTTCAAATGGCTGCCTGGTTTTGGTGGAGTTTTTTTCTTTGTTTATTTATATTTTTAAAGAAAGGCTATCTTGAGTTTCCAAACTATTTTCCAGGTATACACTTGTAAAAAATAGGACTTACACATATTTTGGCCCAAAGCAATTTTTCAAAAGTTTGCAAACAAGGAGTCATTATTTTAATTTATTCCTCTTTAGAGAGCTTTCCTATTAAAAAACAATATCTGATAATAGTTCAATATCTGATAATATTCCAAAATAATAGTTTATTTATAAAATGTCTCTATTTTCAAATATGCATAGAAATTTGCAAACAAAATATTTGCAAAGATGCTTTTCCTATGAGATTATTACTGTTCCAGTTTGTTGCATGTAACATGAAGTCTACTGTCTTCGCACTGGCAGCATGTATAAAAACTAACAATATATTCTAAGAGACATTTAGACAAAAATAACTGAAGTGCATCACTGGTCAAAAGTTTGAGTCATTCCCTTCATTTTCTAGACAGAAAAGTACAATAAGAAAGATTCACTTATGAATCAAAACAAACAAACAAACAAAAAAGCATCAATTAAAGAAAATAAACAGTTATAGAAGTTATAGAAGTTATAGAAGTCTGAAAACTGTAGAATAGGAGGATGCAAATTTTTCCAATTTGCTTCCATGCTGGGAGTATTTGCCATGCAGGAAGAAGAGTCAATATTTTTCTCCTACTTCCAACACACAATAACAAAGATAGACCTTGAGCAATTTCCTAAGATAATTACACAATGTATGTATAGCTTGCCATGTTTCTAGCCCTTTTGTTTTGATATTGAGCTACACTGAGAGCTTCTTACAGCTAGCACTTTACCATGCACCTTTTCTTCCAGATGTGAAAGATTGGTTTATCAGCTTGTAAAACATCTGCATGTTTTTATAAAGGCAGGTTTATGCAAAAAAATCAAAGCAAGTAACATAAGTAGAAAAATTAGAATAGATTTTTTTTCATTATTATTATGAAAAAACTGTTTGAAGGAAAAAAAAAATGCTTAAAGTAAAATACTTCTGTCCATACTTGAAGTGTCGAAGTGTTCAGCCCCTCAGCAAACAAATGCTAACTAGCACATAGAGTACTGAGTTAAACCACAGTATGCTTCATTTCTCCTCTGAAATTCCATCATTCTGTTTTGCAAGGACTTCATATAACTTCTGATTTATTTCTCACTTTTTCCCCTATCTCTTTCAACCATTATACCAGACTACAGAACAACCCAAATGTGTTGTTTAGCTAGTTTGGGAGTCCTAAACAATACACCTTAAAAATCGAAACAAAGGCTTCAGCCCCCTCACAGCTGATTTGGAGCTGCCAGAACTCGCACATCCAAGGAAACACATCCTTTGGATACTGGCTGTTCTGGGGCACTCTAACAGAACCAGAAGAGAAGCAGAGGAAAAGGAGAAGACTAAAAGATCTGTGAAGGAAAATTATGAAGGAGTCATAATGACAGGATTGAAAATTAGGGAAAAAACTTCAAAGATTAAGTGTAGGGATAGTAAAGATATGCTGGTGAAAGAAAAAAAAAATTCACACTTTGGTTTTGATTTAGAAACACAAGCTCCATAAAGGTTTTTGGAAAAATGTTTGAAGATACAGAGACAAACCAGTCGTGCTACAACACTAAAGATGGAATAAGAAACTACCAGAAGTCAACTTGAGAAGATTGTTTAAAGGCTTCTTAACATTCATAAGACCTAAATCTAGTTACCCAGTGTAACTTCACAATATGATTTCTGTGCTCATTTTGTACTGTTTTGCTGATTGGGGTGAGTCAGTCAGCACAATTATAAACCTCTGTAATCTACAGATTTCTTCCTCATTAGTGAATTTAGCCTACTGATAAATATCGTAACAGAGGAAAGCCATGAACTTCAATCTATGAATTAGCAGGATAAACTATAATTGCATCATCAGAGACCTTTGAATGCAGTCTTGCAACAAGAATCTTTAGGACTTAAATTATTTGCCAGGATATCGAGTATGGCACAGAAGGTGAAAGTAGACAGCCTGAATTCTGTATATTAGAAGTGTTTGATGTGTCACAGCTTTAAATATCAGCAACAAAATTGAATATTTATTAATACTGCAATTTTGGTTAAATATAAGCTAACTTCAGATACTGTTTCTAGTAGTCTAGGAAGGTAAATAAAGTCTGCAAACTTAATTAAATCATACACAAGATGTTCTACAAATCACAAGGATGGCCTTATCTGAATGCATTTTACTTTTCTGTATTCAACTATATAGTATTACTTTGTGAATTGAAAGAACAGTACTGAATGTAGTTAATTTTAAATTGCATTAATGAAAAGACTATGAAAATCCACTCTAAAAAAATCATAGCAGAAAAACATTAGGTCTGTATGGCCTGGGACAAAGGCCAATCCGGAATTAAAATGGATAATATGACTTATATAATGAGAGGTCTCAAAAAGGACAAAAACAGATGCATATTTATGTGTAGCCATGAAGCTTACAAATATCTTGATTATCTGCTTCAAAACATCTGCTTACCTACATCATGCAGAGAAACTAAGGAAAGAAGTAAAACGTACCTGTATTAGAGAGAGATCCTCAAGGTTCAATCTGAAGAGGTAGTTTCTGGGGTTAAAAAAAAGTAGATAAAAATTATTGTTACTAGTTTTGGTTAAAAAAATATTGTTACTGTTTAAATAAAAGCAAAATTAAATGCATGTAAAAGACAGAAAAAAATTAAAAAGTAAGAGATATTCAGGGCTTCAAATTCTTTCAGGGACTGTCTTAACATATAGCCCTTCGGGTTAAGGACTAAGTTAATTTCTAAAACAGATTTTCAGTTTGAAGAACTGGATGAATGTGAACAATGTAGATATTTATATTGCATACATGTACAGCTGATTCATTCTCCAGTCTTCCTTTAGAATCAATGGGAAGAAATATTCTGTGCTTTGGCAGATTCGTGTCACCAGTGTTAGGTGTCTACATCAGAATAAGAGGACAGGCAGATTAAAACTGTCTATTTCTCTCCACAAATATGGGAACTGTATGCAATTAGCTCAGTAAAGTTTGAAGCAAAGGATACCAGTATGATGGACTATCTGTAGAAGCCTCAGAGTTTTCACAATTCTGAATAAAGTCCTGTCATACACAATGTAATTTATTTGAAACCTGAGATTTTTTTTCCCACAGACAGGAGGAACTACACACAAACCAACCAAGCATAGCTTTCAAAAGTCTGTGTGTTTATTGCAAAAATATTTCTCACTCCATTTTTTCTTAACAGCAATATCACTGTAGCTACAGAAGAAGAGTTTAGGCAAATCACAAGAGCACTGCCTGAAACCTGGGGAAAGGATGGGATGGGAGTCTTAGAAAGGTGAAAGTGCCCCAATAACCAAAACCACTTCCTCCAGCACATACTGGTGCAATCTGTGCACGCTATCACAACTCCTTCTAATACATTGTGTCTGTTGAGTTAAAGCAGTTGTCTTATTACCCATGTTCTGATAAACCAGGTGTGTTTGTAGCCCTCATGGTGTCAGTCCATGATCCTCAAAAAGATGAACAAATACAATCTTTGAGTTGATTTCAGCACATCCTTCCTTAGCGTAGATTTTCTTTTTTGCTAGGTCTGAATACGGCTTTTCTATGTTCCATGTCCATATCCCTCAGAACCATTTTTTTTCTTTCTTTCTTAGTTTCTTCTCATACCTTTTCATAATTGTTTTTTTTCCACTGCAGTTCCACAGAAACAACATTCTTCACTCCTCATCTGCCTAAATTTTACCTTATTTAAATCAATTCTGACTTTCCAATGGTACTACAGAGTGATTGTCTTACAGATTAAATAATTTTTAAAATAATATTATAAATTACTTCAATTTTAATTTAGTCATAACATATATATAACATCAATTTATAAGATTTTAACATATTCACCTTTGTTACTTAAAGTAACAAAAAACCAGATGACAAAAAGATGAGTAAATTTAAACTTTAAATATTTGCAGTATTCACAGATTACCTGCAATATTACCTCCATGCAACTAGTAGAAGTGTAATCAAAATTAAATCAGGCCACGTTTTTTGAGATAAAAATTCTAATTCTTTCCAAAGAGGTATGCGGTATTGTTAATGGGCACAGATGGTCAGGGCCTGCAGTTTACATGCCTCTTAATTTTTTTTTTAATGAGACAGCAAGGAAGCAGAAAGGAACAAAACCAAATTGTGTACTCAGAAACACAACCACTGTCATGGAAAATTTAATTTATGGACTTTGGGAAACAGCTATGTGTATTTATTTTTCAACTCTAGTACTTATATGGTCTACTTAAATTGTAGTTGTACAGGAATCAGGTCACTAGTCTTTCCTAGAAGCATTGCTACAGAGAGTTACTAAAAATGCAGGAGTCAGCCTATTAAGGGCAAGAATTCATGATAATGTAAAATAAAGACAGAATACTTATTATTAACACAGATAAATCACCACAAAGAAATAACTAAAATACTTGGATTTGAATTATGAAGAAACCTGAAGTGGGTAAACAGAGAAAACTACATTGCGGAACAATGTTTTCACAACGCTTCACCAACAAGCTACATGCAAGCGGACTTGAAAGACTTTCACCAAAACACCAGGAAGCAATGCATTATAGTCTTTTTAACACATCCCCACTCTCTCTGTAAGGAGAAAAAAAATACCTTCACTTCTGCAAAATGTCTTGCTCAGAATTATTCAGCAGGGAACATAAGTACTGAGTCTGCTCCTCATTTCAGTACATTTACACTTCCGTGACTTGTTACTGTACTTCTTTCACTCCAGATATCATAGAAACCTACTTCTTTGCTGTTGCAAATATTTTTTTTCACCTATATAAACAAAACTTTATTTCTTCAAGAGAAACTGAACTGAATCCTTGGCAGGTGTAAACTGTTTTCTTAACCCAGTGGTATCAGACTCACAGGAGTGGCACATAAAAGCCCCATCTCACTCTACAAATGCAGTCTCTGTTGCAGAATATATGAGCAGACAGTGTGGCTCACACTTTTAGATTTAGGGTCAATACTTAATGTAGTATCATTTCCATCTGTATGTATCTTTATCTTCAGATATCTACTGAAGTTTAGTCATGATGAAGCCTTTTTATGACAAATTATCAAATTAATAATGTCTTTTTATGGTATTTCGTTCTGACGTCATTTCACCCTATTAAAAAGTAAGTTATTGTCCCAAATTGTAAAAATTCTAAACGAATAAATGCATAAACATAGTGTCAGCCTGAAGAAAAAACAGAGATTCAACATTTTCCTTGGTTTTTTTCTTGTTAGAAAATGAGATTTGTGTCCTATTCAGTAGAGCACAACACTTCTACACATTAATATATTTGGTGTGAAATTAGAAAAATTGACCCTATAACTGTTAGTGAGACTAAAATGTCTATATTCATGTGAATGAGTCAAGAGATAGAGCTAATTAGTTCATATTTTTCAACTTCCTGTGGCTGCCAATAACCAATTAAAATATTATTTTCAGTTTCATAAAACCAGCAGAGAGAAAATGGAATAGGAAGAAAAGCAATGTGCAAGAGACAATAAAACATTACACCTTAGCAACATAAACTGGGCAAATGGACAGCACAGATTGGCTGTGACTACATAAATAATGCTAGGATAACTGGCAAACTAGCACTCTGAGAGCAATCAGAGCTATTCCTATCTAGATGTTTTACATTTCAGTAAAACTTGCAGGACTACATTTAGCTCCACAAATACAAGAGTTTAGCATTCTAAGATACGCATCTCTAACATGTGAGAACTCATTCATTTGTTCAGATAGGACATATAAGAGAAAAAAATTTAAATTAAAAAAAAAAAATTAGGCATGCCAATAAAAAAGCACAATGGAAACACAGAATTAATAAATCTGTCACCAAAAAAAAAAGTCAATGCCAATTTTCATTACATACGCAGAGCTGTTATGGTGACATAGGTGACAATACTTTTTTCAATGTGTTATTGAGATTATGCCCTGGACTGCCATTTTTCAACCTCTGGTCACCTTTATTCTAGTGCATTTATGCTCGAAGGCAACAAAGGATGTGAAATAAAAATGAAATTACATTTTTGAAGCACAGATACAGACTTCTTAGCACACTGGCCTGTCTCTTTTCCAAATATGGTGATAATAAGCAAGACAAATACAACTTTGCATGATGGAATTGAAGTGATTTGACACTGGTGGTAATTGGCAACTTTGTTTCCATTTGGTGCTTAATGAATGAGGAAAGCAAATATGTTACACAAATCTGCAAACAGAAGGACACTTAATGAGAACAAAACACAACTAACACTGAGAAAAAAGCAGTGTCCTATACTCCTTCAGAGATCCAGCAGGTAATAAGCCTTTTGCTTTACATTCGTGGTACTGAACAACTTTTCTAGCTCAACTGTGATTACTAAAACCTGTTAGTCATGAGCCTGGTCAAATCCAAGGGCAAAGATTTCCACTGATATCAGTGGAAAGTGAATGAAAACACACGAAAAGCATGCTCTTGTGTCACCTTGTTGACAACAATATATTTTAATTTATTGCCGTGTGACTACAGATAAAAGTATAAAACCAATCTTCTGTATGTTCCTAAACAAGTCTGTGTCAAAACACAACTGAAAACCCCTAAGGATTCAAAAGTATATCAGGTTAGTAATGATTGTTAAATCCAGCATTTTACCCTTTTGTCTGTGAAATTGCAAGCTATAAGAGCTGAATGGAACAACAATAAATACTCTTGCATTAAACACTTACATGAATTAGAAGAATGTTAGGATGGCACATACAGTTCAGAAAAACATGGATTCAGGACTAAGCTTTTGAAAAATAAAGATGGCAAAATATATACCATAACATAGTATAAAAACCTCCAAAACCCATCCTAAGCCCCCACACGCATCTGCAATTGAAAGCCTGAATAAATAAATAGGAGTTGCAACAAACTCAGAAACTCAAGGTATGACTAGACATGCTGCCAAATCTCCTGGAAATAACCAGTAAGAAATTCCTTTCTCTTCACATCTTTCAAGAAACTCTATCACCCGAAAGAAAATTTTATTTAATTTATTGGAAGGCAAAAATATTACAACTGAAAATGAAAAGTATGAGCTCTGGAAGAATCAACTATTAGGCAAAAAGTCACAATTCCACAATTAAGATGTTGAAGTTCTGTGTGGCAACCAATTCTAGTTTTGCAGTGTAGTAAAATCAGCAATTGAAATAAAATAATAATTAAAAAAAAATAATAGGACAAAAGGAGATAATCAATATAAATTAAAAAATATGATGCAGAAAATTCACTTGGTTATATTAAGAAATCATAGGAAAAATACCTGAAAAAGCCAGTGATGAAACACTGGAAATAAGAGAAATTTAATCAAAGTGGTATGGTTGAACCATTTATAAAAATGGTTAATTTACAATAATAAAAAGAAGAATGGTCAGAAGTAATATTTTAACTGCACTTTGAAGGAAAGGGAAACCTCAGCAAATCAGAATAATGAAATGAGTGTCTTACTAGTAAATGATAAAGATACGAAAAAAGCATATGCACAGAGATAAATATTTTCAGACT